AATTTGGCCTTTTTAGACCACAGAAATGGCAATTTCATATGGTTTAACCCAGTTCAAAGAACCAAATGAATTGTGAGTGACCTGGCTTGGCTCTGTTTTTCTGTGAGAATCAGGACTTTCAGACAATCCCGCATTTTCCTGCCAGAGGATTTAGACAAAGAGATAGAAAATAGACCAAGCACCTTGACAATTGCTTTTCTTCCAGCAAACCAGACCCAGTGACTCAATTCAATTTGAAATAACTGTCAAAGCCCATTTCATTTTTGTTTCTTGGCAGTCCCAAAAGAATAACTGTACTGTCTGTACTGAGTCTATTAAATGAAGGATTGTAGTCTCATCTCCATCTTGTCTTGCAGTCCTGACACATACAACATCCAGACCCAACTCCAATTGTTGTCTTCCGTCTCCCTCCCTCTCTTACCCGCTCCTTCCTTCCCTCCCTCCTAAATACTCCTAAGGTTCAACATGAAAGCTGTAGTTTCCAGAGAGGTCTCGGATGATTGTGAAGGAAAATGAAAGTATTTGCCTATGGAGGAAACTTTCCACATGAACCACAACTTCCAGAACTTGGTTTGGGCCAGAGTTGGACTTCCCCGGAATTGACAGACATTCCCCCGGGGATACTCTGCTTTGCACTTTTTTGGAAAGATACACACAGAGTAGCCATAATTGAATTCCTGGCTGAGCATCCTGGGAATTTTCCCAGTATGCTTTGTGGCAGAGGAACTTGGCATGGAAGGAATCGGATAGTGTAGTTTAATCCAAATTGGCATTATGCTATTCAACAGATCTCTTTTAATCCCTGACATCTCACTTAGAAGTATATCTTCATAAACTTACTGTTATAAGTGATGTTACTGATGTAGTTGGCCATCATCTCTGCTTTGAATCACATCCTCTTAAATCTCCTTTGAGACCTAGGTCCAAAAAATTATATCCTCTTTTCAACATCTTTAGTTTCTCCTTCTCTATTAGCTCTTTGTCCTTAGGATTTGGACATCTTCAAGTATTCCACCTCTTAAAAGCAAAGGAGAAAATCTTATATCTTCTGTCTCATTCCATTAACCATTCCTTCTCATCTGCTCTGTCAGTCTTCTTGAATAAGGTGATTATGCATAAAGCCTCCGACTTCCTTCCTTCACAGTTTTTTACCTACAGTGAACTGGCTTAGATCCCTACCTCTGTATAGAAACAGCCAGTGGCAGGGTAACGGTGGCTTCTTTGTTGTTAAAACCAAGAATTGCTTCTTTTTCTTGACCTCCAGGCAGTACTTGGCATAGTCTCCCACCACCTCATGTTTAAAAACATACTTCTTTTTCCTTATGAAATGCCAAACTCTTCTAGATCTTTTTCACCTCTGCAGGCCTTTGGGCCTCTGTTGGTCGCCCTCAGTGCTGTAACCTAGATTGTCTGTTTTCTTATTTTACCTGCATTCTGAGGGTGAACCAGATCTCCTGTGACATCCATGGCCTCTGTGTGAGGAGTCCGTTTACCACCTGCATCTCAGATGTGCCTTGAACATCAGTCAGTCTTCCTCCCCACCCAGGCGACATCTCCCCTTGACCAGGTCGCTTGCCTCACACTTGACAACTTCCAAACTGAAATCTGAAATTTTCCCACCCCGACCAGTTGTGCTTCCTACATATGGTGGCACTGTTCTCTGGTTGCCCCAACCAGAAATCTCAGAAGAACCCTTGATTATTTTCTTTTGTATTCCCTTTAGCCAATTAGACTTCAGACTTCACGTCCTATAATTCTGTCTCCAAAGACTCCATCTGCTGATACTATCACCTTGGGAATTAGATCAGTGTGTGGCTTTGGGGGAAAAAGAAATACTCAGACCACACAAGCAAGTCATCCAAATCACACTGTTCCTCAGTGATAGAGCTGGAGTCCAAATCAGGGCCGTCGGGCTCTGAGGTGCTTTGTGACATGTGGTAGGCATTGGACATTGGAATCACACTGCCTGTGTTCTAATTTGGCAGTAGGAGTTCACCAGGATGTGGTTAATCTCCTCAGGCCGCGTTTTATCTGTGGATTAAATGTGAATAACAGTACCTCTTCGAGAGTTCCAGTAGGGATTAAGGTCATAACTATAAAGCGCATTCCTACAAGTTGTGTGATGTAACTATTAGCTGTAACTGTCATCATGACCATCACCATCATTAATTTTAGGGCCTCTATTTGCAAATAAAGGCAGACTTTACTGGGCAATAGGATCAGTGAGTATTCAGTGTTGCTTTGAAAACTAGCATTCTTTGGAATCTAACAGTTGGTTAAGGGTATTCAGTAAACTCTAAGAGGGCTTAAAAGTACAGGTTTGTTTTTTTTTGGTACCGGGGATCGAACTCAGGTCCTTGCGCTTGCAAGGAAGGCAGTGGAACCACTGAGCTAAATCCCCAGCTCGAAAGTACAGGTTTGAATAACAGTTATTGGAAATGCTTGGGACCAGAAAAATTTCAGATTTCACATTTTCTTCAGATTATAGAAGATTTGCTTTATACATAATGAGATATCCTGGGACTAGAACCCAAGTTGCAACATGAAAGTCATTTGTGTTTCATGTACACCTTATTCATGTAGCCTAGATATAACTTTAAACATTATGTCGAGTGTACCTGTATTTTGTTTACAACCTGTCATTTGAGACAGGTGTGGGATTTGGCACTTACAGTATCCTGTTGGCACACAACATTTTTGGACTTTCAGAGTTTTTGGTTAGGTATGTTCATGTTAGGTTAGCTATTTGTAGTCAAATAGCTCCAGAACAGACCCCCAACTATGTGATATTCCTTGTATGTATCACAGACATTATTTAGCACAGCTGGTTAATCAGGAGTGGTGTCATAGGAGCTGCTCCATAATTAGGGTCAGTGTTTTCAGGGGAAAATAGTAGCCTAACCAGCCATGTGTGGAAATTCTCTCTGGCAGCTGCCAAAATGTATTTGAATTGACTTGATGTGATTTCTAGTAATATTAGAAGTACACATCTGTATAAGAAATAATATTTTTTCAGTTGTTAACTAAATGTCTGAATGCCTGGCTCTGTTATGTTAATTTTCATAAGAACTCATATATTGGACAATTTTATTATTTCAGTATGAGATAACAAAGGCTCCAACAGGTAAGGACAAGTCTGGCATTTGAATCCAACTCAGGCCGCCTCTTTTCTTTTTTCTTTAATTTTTTTTTCTTTTTTAAGATTAGTTTTTCTCTGATGCAGGTATTATGTAATGATCTTGTGCTGGGGCTTCTTAGCAGTTTGACTTTGTGGATGAGCTCAAGACTCCCAACTTCACTCATGGCCATGACTTTGTTACCCTCAAGCAGATTCTCCAGGGCAGCAACGCAGCCAGAGCATTCTAAGATGGAAAGAGATCCCTGAGAGTTCAGTTCAGTTCTGAGCCATCACGGGCAGCATCTTCCTGATAGAAATCAGAAGGACACGTGACTTACACCTGGCAAGCAGCTGGCCTTCCTTCCAGTGCAGTCAGGCCAGACTCTTCCGAGTGCTATTTCATGATTATTTTCTGATGAGAAATAGATTTGGTCCCAGCGACTAGAATGCAAGTTAGGCCTTTGTTCTGAGAAAAATGTTAGTTTCCACTTTGTCTGGAATTAATCATAGCCTTCATATTCTTCAATTGAAGGCTACAGTGCCCTAGGCTAACAATATCTTGGCAGCATCTTTCCTAACCTTTTACTTTTATTTTATTTACTTGCTCACTTCGTGTTTTTTCCAGCATTCTTCTCTTTAATCTTTGGATAGCTAGTAAACATGGACAAAGGATTCTTTATACAATTTGCCTTGGATTTATGGACAGGCTGCCCTTCTTTTTTTTTTTTTTTTTTTTTC